TTCTGCTTTCCAAAGGAGAGAGAGAGAGAGATGTATCTCCGCATGACCTGAAAGCTGCAAAGCCAGGTACTTTTAAGAAATGTCTCTTGTTTGCTTCATCAAAGACGCCTCCAGACTGATCGTTTTTCTTTTCTCCAAGGCAGGGGTTGAAAGTGAGCAAATCTCCGTTCACGTCTCTCTGGACGAAAAAGGAATAACACAATTCCAAATCCCTCTTCACATTTCCAAGGTAAGCGAGATGTCATTCTTTATTCATAGCACAGAATCATGGCATTGAAAGGAATCTTATAAGGTCATATCACCCAGTCACCAGCTCAATGCAGAAATTAAAGTGTATCTGACAGATGGCACCCCAGTTTTCTCTCAGCCTCTAGTTCCACTGTTGTACTGCTCAAAAAGTTAGGAGGTTTTTCCTGATAATCTGGCTCCCTGAATGCATTAATTGCTTCCCCAATCCACCCTCATACACACACTGTGATCTTTATGATCAAAACTCATCCCTCCAGAAGCACACAAAGACCAAGTGAGCAGCTTCTATCCAGAGTTGGTTGGGAGTGGGGAAATGATCTCACACAAGAACGAAAAAGAGAGGGGGGAATTTAGGGAGGTGGTAAAACTGGACAACACCACTAAAAAAAATATGCCAAGTTACAATGCCAAGACTCCTCAAAGCAGTTAATTTCAATCGTATTAACATTTTAAAGCAACTCTTTACTTTGTGATTACTGTAAAGCAACAAAAATAGTTACTTTTTCTTTTGCTCCTTGGGGAGAAAAAACATGGAACTCTAAGCCAATGCACTGTGATGCAAAATCCAGCACACAATTTTTTTTTCTGGAAAAAGAACGATGAAACAGAAGCTATCATATTCTGGGCACATCAGAAGACCATGGGACTCATTGGAAGAGACATTAATGCTAGGAAAAGTTAAAAGCAGCAGGAAAGCAGCAAGACTGACTATCAAAGACATCCTGGTTTTCAGGCAAATTGTCTGGATCAGTCCCTGCCCACTCAGCTCACCTTCACCTACACCGCCCAAATCGTTTTTCTGGTGTCCCTCCTTTCCCGACGTGTGTTAAGAGGGAAGTACGGTCTGTTGTTCTCTGCTTCCCACCATCCAGGACAGCTAACTTGAATGACCACATTTTTGTCTCAGAGTCTGTGAGAGGCGCCTCCTCCTTCTTCCTCCTCCTCCTTTTTCCTTCATTGCTCCTCATTGTTTCTTCGTTAGCCGTGT